CTTGTTTGGGGTTCCTTCGGGTTCCTCATTCGCCATGTCACGTCTAAGCCCTAGGCTTGGGTCGTGACATCCGACATCTAGAGAATTTCACCCCATACCTTGGTCCGGCTACGTGTGTATAATTTACTAACTGTTACCTTTACCTCATATTAGACATCATAATCGATGTTTGGCTTAGTTATTACTTCGCACCAATCGACACTAGCCTATTAGATAGTATCACACTAAATCTATGTTGATAATTCTTTTCTTGTTGATTACCTCCTTGATCCGGCAAGTAGCAACAAGGCGAGTTCTAACGCGTGCACTCGTTAAAAAGACTTTTAAACGAAAAAATTATCAATGCATGCAAAACAATATTCAATAATTATTTATTTACTATTCATACTTTGTTAATCGTTCATGGATCCCACAACCCTAGTTGTGAAATTTAGTTACCCATAATAGCAAGAACACAATTCATAATATTAAATGAAGAAATCATGAACTTACGTAAAAAGAATAAGAAATCCATAATTTCAACTTGAATTGCAAAGCCAAAATCTTCAAAACGAACTTGGGGAGTCAATAATTGTTAGGGTTGCAACTTAATCTCCCAAGTCACAAAGTAAAACTAAAATAATAATGTCTAACCCCCAGAAATGAGGTTTACATGCCTTATTTATAGAAAACAAATCCTAAATTAAAAGGGAAACAAATTAAGGAAAGTTTTGTTCAGGTACGCGTCTTCAATCCACGAGACCGACTTACGGACCGTCGATGGATCTACGGTCCGTAAGTCCCTTCCGTCAGTCAGGACTTAGAAAATATTTCAGCTTCCAAAAATCAGCTTCTCTAAAGCAAACGACGGACCAGCAGTACGAACCGTAGACTGATCTACAGTCCGTCAATCCCCTCCGTAGCTTCATACTTAGAATCTTCAAAAATCAGGTACTGGAACCCTCGCAATATCACTCTACGGATCAACAGTACAGTCCGTATATCAATCTACGGACCGTCAATGGACATCGTGGTTCCACACTTGGTCAGTATTTCCCTAATTTGTCCTCAATACCATGCCTGCTGATCTACGGTCTTCACCTATGGTCTGTAGATCACCTCTGTGAATGCCCTGTTTCTGCATTTCTTTCAGTTGTCTCTATACTTCCGCGCCTGAACATCTTTCCTGCAAAAACATGATAAAAACACATAAAAACCAATATAAAAAGACCCTAGACACACACAACTTGTAAGTGAAATGTATTAGAAATACCGTAAACTTACGGTATATCAAAGACCACGAAATTTAAGAATATTTTAATACATTCAACATATCTTTAATTTAAATACGGCAAAAGTTTTTTTTTTAATATTCTTAAACATCATATTAAATCAAAATTCAAAAAAATAAATTAAAATACAAATAGTAAATCAATCAAGTTTCCTGAAATTATCTTTGATTAAAATATTAATTTACTTTATTAAAATTTTATGAAACTAGAGTTACAAATAAAATTATGTTTTTTAATATTTTTTACAAAAAATATTTAAAATAATATTTATACTTTAATGTATTTAAATAAAATTTGAAAAAGTGAAATAAAAATAAGTTATAAGCCAATTTCAAAATTTAAAATTTTCATGATCAATAATTAATTTTCATGAATAATTGTGACCAAACTGGTCCTACATGTTCATGGTTTGAAATTTAAAATACAAATACGTTAAATTCAAATCACAAAATCCATTTTTCCGGATCTAGGGCGACTATACAAAGCCTTTCATGTTCCACACTTTGTTTATTCCTTGCCGCCCACGTCAAAGAATATTTTGAAAAAGATATTTGTTCAATCATAAAATATATAAAATAATAATTTTATATGTACAAACATATTTATTTTTTCTCAAAAAAACTTAAGAATGTTTAATTGTGTAGTTCTCAAACTAAGATGATATTTGACCTATTTGAGATTTATTTAAACTTCATGAAATGATTTTGTGGATCGTATTTGATGCTCCAGGAGAGCTCAACCACATCTTCATTTCTTTGTAAATATTATATGAATTTATTAAATTTTAGAAAAGATATATATTATTCTTTTGTATAGAGTTTAGGATAGAATATCGTCTCTAACTGAAATTGAACTTATCTTTTAGATTTTACAAAAAATTGTTATTTTAAATATTTTTCTATTAAATTATGGGTAGGAGAAGGGGAGAGAATTATAATGTGGAGAATCAAATAACTACCAATAAGATGAGAGTTTAGGTAGCCAAACCAACTAATCTATTACAATTCCCCGATATCTACAATATTTAAGAGAAGTATTATTAAGTAAAATGGAATCAACGTGAATTAATTATGATATAATAATTGAGAATTAAGATTCTTTTATTGTAGATTAGAGATTTTGAATTAGAGTCATAATTATAAAAAAAAATCTAATGAAATCCATTTTTCAACCTTCCGAGGAACTCTCGTCATTTCTTTAATGCCACAAATTCATAATATTAATAATTGAATATGAAAAATATTTACTCTATCATTTTATCTTTTTTAATGATTAAAATTAATATTTTTGAACTTGAAAATGAAAGAATATTTATCATCCGAACAACGTCGCTTTCTTCTTTACTTGGTTTTAGTGCAATATTTAGTCGGCCCAAAGTTTTGTAAATTTGATGTGCTGGCTTTCATAACCATGACTGACGCTAAACGTGTAAAACTGCTACTTATGACTCATCACTCATCATAATATATAGTCATTCACACCTTGCAGTAGGTGGAAAAAGAAAAGTAAACTCAATATTAAAAAAGATAAAAATATTATTTTCGATAAATTCTGATTCAAAAAAATATATATATCAAACATATTAAAAAAATTAACTGATCATGGGAAGGGATTATGATAAAAGAATATAATAGATATAATAAAGTATTTAAAAAATAAATAGTAACCGAAATCAATGGACAATAGCCTAAACAAGTTTATAGTCACTAACGAGTATGACATGATTCACATAATTTAAACTTGTATAAATTTTAAAATAAGACTCTTAAATAATATATACTATTAATTTGAGTTCATGTATAAATAATATTTCATCTGTTTAAAAAAGAATGACCTTTTTTTCTTTTTAGTCTGCTTAAAAAAATGATCTCTTTCTTTTTTTGGTCACAAGATTAAATGACAATTTTATACATTTCAATTCTTTTTGAAACAGTGGGTACTTTAAAAGTGGCGAAATAAAAAATATAAAAAAAGACATGTTAACATTGAGATTTGAACTCAAGCTCAACAACACTAAAAGAACCTTAAGCACCCACCCAAGAGCCAATAGACCAGTCAAATCATTTGTTTATTGGGTGCTCTATGTTAATTTTATACAAATACCTCTTAATTTCTACATAAATATATTTCGAGATGAGATTGATGGGTGCTCGAGCACCCGACGGACTCCATGTGGGTCTGCCCCTGCTTGAAATAAGGGACAAAATCAAGTAGGATTGAACAAAGTTCAATCAAATTTTCTTTGGTGATTTTTTTTCTTCTATTGGTACATGATTAAAATCTGTATAATTTATTTAAATTCATACGGTTAAGATCTAATTACATTATTTTTCTACTTTTTTTTTCAAATTACAAAAATTCCTTAAAATTTATGAATTTCGATGAATACATTAGCAGACATCCGAATACATAAGTGAGAAATGATCAAAAAGGGGAAGAATGTATCAGCGAGGGGATAGGATATCAACAGACATCTGAATATACAAGGAGGGATGTATCTGAGAGGGGATGAATGTATTTGAGAGGGGGATAGAGATGTATCAGCGAAAGGAGAGTGATGTATCCGAAAGCGAATTTTTGATATTTTAAAAATGTAGGATATTTTAGAGATTATGGTAAAATAAGATATGTGTATTTAGGTATTTTTCCATGAAATTTCAACATTTTATATACCTACTTTTTCATATTTTAAAATTGCTTATAAAATTTTAAAATAATAAATTAAATAAATAAAAATATGTTCAATTATCTTAACAACTTAATCCTTATAATGAGACAATATATACAGTTTTATCATATCTTGGTTGGATTGTCTCTTACTTTGGAATATATATTATCATGAGTTGTTTAATAGCTGTAAAAAATACATGTTCATTTTGTTATATTTAGATTTTTAAAAAATAATAATTTTCTCCAACTATTTTTATAAAACACTAAAAGAAAAAGTAAAAGGAGGGAGAATATATATAAATTTACTACTATTATAAAAGGGCCTGCATCTAGTGATTTCAGAATATAAACATTTGGCATTCTTAGAAATTCTTTTCTTTCTAATGAAGTATCACTAAAGAGGAACAAAACATTATTATAAAACAAAAAATACAGTATAAAGTAAGATATATTTATTAATTGTGTTAACAAAAGATATAAAAGGGTCATTGATGATTATTGTGGAAGTGAACAATTAATTTTCAAAGTTTCATTCTTCATCTCCTTTTTGTGGAAAAAATGACAATGTTAGATTTGGTCAAATATTTAAAGTAATTTCTTTTGAAATTTATATGATTGACTTGAAGAGTTGAAGCACATATTCATATATTTGTTTCAATCTATAATTTTGCAGCTTTATAATTTAGCAATTTTTGAAAGTTGAAGAAGAACAAGAGGAAGAAGAAGCAATTCTAAGAAGTGCCTTTTGCTTTTGTGGTACGTACTTTATCAAATGTTTCATTTCATTGTTTTAAGGGGAAAGGGTCAAAAATGCCCTTAAACTATGTGAAAGGAACAAAAATGTCATTCGTTTATAGTTTGGCTAAAAAATGTCCTTACCGTCAATACTTTGGTTCAAAAATGCCCTTAAACTATGCGAAAGGAACAAAAATGCCATCCGTTTGTAGTTTGGTCCAAAGATGTTCTTGTCATCAATACTTGAAACCAAAAATACCCTTATTGTTATTTAATTGGTCAGACTCATTTTCCAAATAAATATATTATTATTTTCTTTTTGACACATTCTTTTTCAATGAATTGTTTTTTTTTAAAATTAGCAAATGTTTATCTTACTTCAATATAGAAAAACATAAAAAATGAAAATATTTCTTATTTTATTATCATTATTTTTTATCGTTATATAAATATAAATTAATGATGGATATACCATGGTAGTATATATATGACATATATTATTTTGTCGAAAGGGTACATGAAGTTATTCTATTTTAATTGATAAAATGAGATTAAGAAGAAATTTTTTTTTTCCTACACTTTTATTTGTTAAAGTGATTTTAAAAGAAAGAAAACAAGAATAGTGTTCTTTAATAATATTTTAATCAGGAAAAACATGTGTTTAAAAAGAAAAAAAAAATTATTCAGAAAAGGGCATTTTTGTCCCATTTTTTAACTATATAGAGGCATTTTTGGACCAAAGTATTGACTGCAAGGGCATTTTTGAGCCAAAGTATTGACAGTAAGGGCATTTTTGAGCTAAACTATAAATAGAGGGCATATTTGTTCCTTTCACATAGTATAAGGGCATTTTTGATCCTTTTCCCTTGTTTTAATAATTTGAGTGTCTAAGTTCATATATCAAACTATTTTCACGAGATATCTGTTATTTTTCCTCGTATCATTAGTATCGAACAAGGGTGAGGGTAGTTAGGTTTTCTATATTTTTTCACAATGTCGAATAAATTGGTAGCTTACTTATTATCGTCTGAATAATGTTTATTATCTTTCATCATCATTAATATCAAATAAGGGTAAAATAAGCTAGATTTTTTATATTCTTTACAACGTCGAGTAAATTGGTATGATACATATCATCGTTCTCAGATTTTAGTTATAGAATTATACCGAATATATTATTGTTATTTAGCATAAATATCGAATAACTTTATTTGTTAAGATATGAACGGAGTTTGATTTTCTTTTTTCTTGGGTTAATAGTTGTATGTAGATGAATATTTTAAATTAGAAAAACAAAAATGAAACATAGATTTCACAGAAATTTCAAAATTACATTAATAGTATATGGTCATGATGGAGAATGCTATGTATATTTGGTTTTATTCCCCACTATAATATAATATAATATAATGTCACCCCATCAGATTATTTAAAAGATAATTGAAAATAATTTAATCTAATAAGAACATTGATTGATAATTATGCTAATGATTGTAAAAAAAAATATTATCTATTACTTAAATATATATATAGTAACAGTATGGTCGATAGAAATAAAATAATTTGTGTTTGATTTTTTTTTTTAATCGTGCATGTTAATTTCGTGTAGGTTTTAGTAGTTACTTATAAATAAATGGTTTTATTATTGTATTAATATTAAATTTAAAGTTTTGTTTTCCTCAAGAGTGAGGATACTTGATAAATACGTCTCTAGTGGCATTTGGCAAGAATATTCTCAAAATAAATTAGTATACGTGAAATTCGTAATGACATTTATTGACCATTCTTAGTTAATTTATCGTTAAATAATTCACAGCTAATTGAATTTTCATAGAATTCGTTCTTAATTTATAACTAAATAAGATTAACTTGTTGACTAGTGGATGTTTATTTGAGAGTTTCTACTAATATATAATTACAAACATTTATTTATAAAGACAATATAGATAATTGCGATTTATTAATGTGATACCTTATTATTGGTATTCATACTTTACTTGTGAGGTATGATTTACTCATTTGGTAAAATTATAAAAATAGAAAATTTTTGATATTTTCCACAAATTATTATAAGACTTTTATATTTATAAGAAAAAATATACAAATTTAAGAAATTCAAATAAAATTTGAATTATAAATCGCTGATTTGAAATTATATTCAAACATGACATAAGAAAAAACTAACAATAACTATTCAATATAATTCTACGAATGAAATTTAACAACAGTCAAATATATGCCATTTTTTTTTAGATAGAACAAAAATATTATTTTTGATAGATCTAGACTTATAAATAAATAGAAAAAGACTCAAATCATCTCAACAACTATAAAATGCCACCTAATCATCACACAACATAAACAAATAATACTTTTGAAGAAATAATTAGATACGCCTTTTTTTAGGTTGTCATTTTCAGGTAATTAACTTAATTAATTTATCTACACAACTAATACTAAAATATAAAAATATATAATTCCTCTTCTAGACACGTAGTTAACCCCCTAAAAAGGGGAAATTAACATTTAAATAAAAAACTTATATATATATTAATTAAAGTCATATTCATGTGGGGGACAAAATAGAAGTCCTTTATATTTTTGGGTTTCTGCATGTGACCCATCTGTTCTACGGACAAATTAAAGTTATATATAGTCGTTACTCATCACTATTCCTTTTTTGGGTCGGTCTATTTTGATATCGTCATTTAATTTAAAAAAGCGAATATAAATTAAATAATAATATTAAATTAATTGAATCAGTAATTATCAATCAAAAAAAGAAAGAAAGTTATATTAGTCACGGCATTTTCGTTTTATTTAACTTTAATAAAAAGTGTCTTTATGTTTTTATACAATAGTTTAATGTGAAATGAGTAGTTAGTTCCTTAAAGATTGGGATACCACGTAGTCTTCAACGTGCCTCCATTTTAGGACTTCCTTCCACATACAAAAAAGCAAATGACGCGTTTTTTTTCTTTTCTAAAAAGAAAAATAAATTTTATTCTGACCGAAAAATTTTAATAGTTCAGCTGATTGAGCTGAATTTTCATTTTGTTAGTAAGGATTTGATTTTCTTTGTTGTAATTCCCTTCCCTTATCCCATACAACAAAAGAAATTATATTTTAAGCTAATAGGGGACGGAATTATAAGGTGATAAAATCCTCATTAAAGTGAAATTGCTAAATTTTAAGCTATATTTTTTAAAAATCAATATTTAATCGTGAAAATTAGTTCAATTTGGATTCTTAATTTTTAAAATAGCTTATAAAATATTTTTTCAACTCTATTTTCATAAAAAAATTCAAATAGAATATTTTTTCTTCTTACACAAAAAAATATAATTAAAATACAACTTTTGCATTTATTTTAATTTTTAATTTTTTTTTTGAATAAAATAAAAAATATTTGATTTCTGTGGCCCGCGTTGGTAATTCAGTACAAGTGAAGTTCCTCGTGTTCTTCTTTTAAGACTCCAAACAGATATTCATGGCCCCACCTTCACATAATTATTTATTTCTTTATTTATTATTATTATTGTTTTCCTTATCTTAAAAAATTAATCCACTTTTTGGGGATTATTTATTACTTATAACTCACGCAATTTATTTAACCAATGAATGGAATTTACTTACCTAGTACGTATGATTACGTGAAATGAAAATAAAAATAACTATAGTATTCGTCTTTATTTAATCATAAGTTTTGAATTTAAATTTTGTAAATTGAGTTTAATTAACTAAATTAATTAGAATTGTTTTATGCCAATTAAATTAGTTAAAAAATGAATATTTATCGTGTAAATTTTTTTTTTTTCCAAAGTAATAATTGCAATGGCGTTGCATTTAAATTTGCAACTATAGAAATTAATTAATGGGATAAAGAAATTATAGTGCAGGAGGGTTAGGGTAGGTTAACTAGTTGATGGTTTAATTAATTGATTCTTCTCCTAAAAAAAGATGCACCTATTACGTGAATTTTTTTTTTTTTTTTTTGCGGTTAGCAATAGTATTTAGTAAAAGTAAAGTCTAAATAGGGTAGAGTATATACAAATTTTATCATAATTTTATGGTGGTGGAGAGGCTGCTCCGAAAGACCCTTAGCTTAAATAAATCAAATCCACCCTCAGCTCAAGTACATCAAACCCAAGTAAAAAAAATAAACACATATCCAATATTTTTTCGACTTACATCTACCTCTTTGTGTACTCTTTTGCAACCAATCTCTCGCACCTCCTTTTCACATATTTAGAAATAAAATACTTTACGAATTATTTCTCAATAAATACTTTCTTTATCATATTAATTCATTATTTCAACAATAAACTTGAAGTACATATTAAAAAAAAAGAATTTCAAGTTTTTATTCACAATATTTTAACTATATTTTCATATTTAAATAAACACAATTTTAACTTTTCAATATCTTATTTTCAACTTAACTTCAAATATCCATTTTTCTTTTATTTATCAATAAAAATGATCAAACACCTACTAAAATCAACAAGAATTACAGTACAATGAATATAATTCCTTAACCCTCAAATAATAATTTCAAAATTCTACAACTTGACTTCAAAATCTATAGCTAAATTAAAGCGCTAGAAAATCTCTAGAACTTTGAATATGAAACACAAATCTTGTAAGGGAGCGCTTCCTTTGCTAATAGCGAATCTGAATTAATTGAGATTTTAATTTGTTTTAAAAAGAAAATTATAAAATCTTACTCTATTTTTCGAAAATTAACTATTATGCTTTCTTATTTAGTAGTACCATAATATTTACACTGTCACAATCATACAAAAAAGTATATAATAAAATAAAATAAAATAGACGAAGTTTCCCAACACTTTCCTTAGCATTGTATCGCAAGTTCGCCTTTTCTCTGTAGCATCTGCAACTATTTTCTCTCAAATCTCCCAAATTCTGTCGGTTTCTTCAATATCGGGTAAATTCTCCAGAACTTACTTTTTTTTTTTCAAAAAAATTGGTTCAGTATAAAAAAATATCAAAAATTGAGGCTCAGTAAATGTTTATTTACAGTGAATACAATAAAGTATAGTATATTATTATATATATGTTTGTTTATCTGCACATAGTTCGAGTTGAAAATGGTGATTTTGGTTGAATATTGATAGTTTTTATGTTTTTTATTGGTATTGTAAATATGATAGTAGTATTTGGTCGGTGTTGAAGGCGATAAACCCTAGTGAAAATTTGAATTTTTTTTATGAAATTGGGGTTTAATTTTTTTTTTAGATTTATATGTTTTGGGTTTGTTTTATGTTGTTTGAAATATTACAGAGAAAATCTGAGAAAAAAAAAATTGTTGTCAAATCTGGTGTCATCTCTCCTGCGACAGTAGAGGAATTTTGGAAGTGGAAACGATGAGTGAAGAGAATGTGAAAGGGTCGCCGTATAGGCGGCATCAGAATGAGGATTTGGAAGCTGGAAGTAGTAGCAAGTCTATTGTGGATGATTGTGGAAGTCCTTTTGATATTCCAAGGACTAAGAGTGCACCTATTGATCGGTTGAAAAGGTGGAGGGTAAGTGTTTTTGATTTCGTATAATTATTGTTATTTTTTTTGTATGTATGTTTTGAGTTTGGATATTTAATTGGATCATATTTTTTTTGGTATTATGTGTTTTTTTTGGAGTGAAATCTTATTTAGGTATTCATTTTATTTCGCCGTTATGATTTCTTCCCTATGAATGTTTTGTATTGCTTTCCTTATTAATCGACATGTTTTTTTCACCTTCGTATTACCTTTTTGGTGAATACTTTGATTTGTTGGACTTGAGCCGATTTGGGAACAACCTCTCTACCCCTATGTGGTAGGGGTAAGGATTGCGTACACTCTACCTTGCCTAGACTCACTTGTGGGATTACACTGGGTATATTGTTGTGTTCATTGGGCTTATTTTTACTTGTTTTATTTTTGCTGTAATGTTTTGTGATTTTTTGGATGCTCATGTGGGTGTTTATCCATTGATTTTTTCTTTTCCCCCTTTTATTTGGACTTGTGTTTTTGTGTGTGATGGGTTTAAGGATCCATGCTTTTGGCTTGTTCTTTGTTTTCTGTGTTATTAGTTTTCATATATTGTTTCTTTTATTAGGAGGATTGGGTGTTGGTTTTCTATTGGTCGAGTCGCGAGGGAGTTGTCGTGTTTAATAGGGGCTTAAATGAACCATGGAGAGTGTAGTTTGCATAGGTCAAGATTTATGGGGAAATGGATTATAGTTTTTCATTTGGGTTAAATGTCGGTGAATTTTGAATTTTATCCTGGCTTGTCATAAAAGGATAGGTATCTCCAACTTCCATTCTTTCTATATTCATGTTTTTTCGTTCATATTTTTTTTAAAATATGACCTGCTTGAATCACCCTGTTGACAATAGTTAAGGAATTGACTGGAGGGAGAAGTTTGAGATGGGATTGAACTTATTAATCATGTCACCGTTAGAGAGATTGATTTTCTGTCTTCCATCCTCATTTTTATGTTTTGAGATTTTTCTGAATTTAACATTTTTATTAGCCTATCATGAACGATTTAGTTTACATCTGACATAATGCACTGGAAAATTGGTCTTCGGATTCCAATCCTGTGAGTTAACTGATAAACATAAAAAAGGAAATCTAGCAATGAATTCCTTATATGCCAAAACAAAGAAGTTTGGTTTGCAACCGTTGCCAAAACCCAAATGGTTATGGTATGGTCTTCATGACGGTTACACTGAATCCAAAATTTTATTACGAAGGGGATATAATGTGGAGTATTGACGGATAACAGAGGTAGCTTAAGTGGAAAGCACCTCCACCTCCAACCTTAAGGTTGTGGTTTCGAGTCACAAAGGGAGCAAATTACAATATCAATAAACAGATGCAATGTGGAGTATTGAAGCTTTTCTGTTACCCAATGCAATGTGGCTATCCGTGTCCACTTTCTACATGATAGTTATGTTACTTCAAGGGTGATATATTCTTTATTGTAAAATGGATGGACACGACCATAGTGGTTGGACCGTAATAAAGCCTATCCCAAAATGACAATTATGCCCTCAGGAAGAGTATTAATTTTTTTTAATAAAGTGGCAGAGAGCAGTTTGGTTCCTGGTTATGTGAGTCTTCTTTTATTATATTGTTTGTTGATGTGTTGGAGAAGTCTAGTGTGTTAGTATTCTTGTTTCTTTGCTAGTTTGACAATTGCTGCATGCGTGCCTTTTCCGTTTATAAGTTTAATTTATTTATTAAAAAAAAGCCTTTGCAAACTGTGATTCTTCCTCTGGTTTAGGACGGGTATAAACTTTTGCTGACCTGAGTTATCTTTTCTCAGCAAGCTGCACTTGTCCTTAATGCTTCTCGTCGATTTCGATATACCTTGGACTTGAAAAAGGAAGAAGAAAGAAAGCAATTGATTGCTAAGATAAGAACCCATGCACAAGTCATTCGGGTAAATATTACTCTCGAATATTTCACATTACCCTACAGTGCATTAAATGGAAGTAAATATTCTTTGTTCCTTCTTTCTTTGCATTGAATCAGGCGGCTGTTCTTTTTCAAGAAGCAGGGAAAGCAGTCAATGGTAAACACTTCCTGATGCTACTTCAAGTCATTGAGTGAAAATTATGTTGTGACAGCTCTAACTGTTTAGCCTAAAAAAATCGTATCCATATCTAAATACTGGAATACTGAAGTAGGTGAGAGAAAGTGGGTAATAACTAAAAATAACTCGTGGTTATTTGTTTGTTACATCACTTGAACCAATATATTGGAAGTTTATGTTCTCCCTTCCCTGTTTGGAATGCTAATCAGCTTTTTCTGGTGGAGGGAATTAATTTGTAATATCTAGTCTTTAAGTTGGTGTGGTAGCCGGCTGAAGATGGCGACAGATGTCCGTCAGATACCTTTCGAATTTGCTTTATGGTTAAATGAAATAGTTCAAGAAGACGAAGCACAGTTCTTGTTTATTTATTTGGTGCAAATCACAAATACAGAAGCAGATTTTATTACTGACGAGTAGTTGTTGTTGCAAAGAATTTATCACAGAATGTAGGACAATAGTCCAATGAAGTTGGACCTTTTTCCGTAGTTACTTTTTAACTGCAACAGTTACATCTTTGCTAATAATTTATGCTGGAGGTATCAGTGAGTTTGTTTTGTGTTTAAAAGGGATCTTAATCATTAGGCTCTTCCATTTTAGTTTTGAATTATGTTGCTCAGACTCTCCAAAAATGTTTTTGCGCCCGTGCCGATTCTCCACAAATGCACTACTTTTGGAGGATCCGACACCCCCCATGGGCATCTTTGAAGAGTCCGAGCAGCATAGTTTGAAAGGTTTTCTATAGGTGAACCTTTGAGCCTAGATGTTCTAGTTGTATTTTCAAATGGTAGAATTTTTTGTTTGTCACATGTTTCGGTGTAGTACTATTTTGTCTTACTTTTTTTATGTTTTAGGGGATGGGTCTCTTAAAATGTTGCCTCCAACTACTCCCTCTCTTGGTGAGTTTGATATCAGCCAGGAGGAGCTGACCTTTATTTCTAGAGAGCATGATGTTACTGCTTTGCAGCAATGTGGAGGGGCAAGTTCACCTATAAAACCCTTAATTTTTTTCTTTTAGTCATACGAGTGCTTGGTGAAGTAAAAGTCTATCTTTGCTATTTCTATTGTGCAATGGTGTAACCTCAGGTTAAAGGGGTGTCAGAGAAGTTGAAAACAAATTTAGATAAAGGAATTGATGGAGATGAAGTAGATCTGCTGAAGCGAAAGAATGCATATGGATCCAACACATATCCTCGGAAGAAAGGAAGGAGTTTCTGGGTATGTGTTACAGTTATTACATCATTTAATGCCGTGATTTACTGTTGAGAATAAATGTCACATTATTTATCATCAAACATATTTACCCTTTTCGTGTGTTCTCCACTGTAGAGGTTTGTTTGGGAAGCTTGCTGTGATACAACCCTGATAATTTTGATGGTAGCCGCAGCTGCATCATTGGCGCTGGGCATAAAGACTGAGGTTTGCTGAACACATGCTAACTTCTGGTCACCATTTTAGGATATAAAATTCTGCATTGGAAAGCTATTTATTGAAATTTCAGTAGAAAGAGTTTCTGTTCTGTCTTTCTTTATTGATATTGAGTGGAAATATATATTTAGAAGACACACAGCTGCGGCCGGGGGTGAGAATGGCGTAGTCTTAATAGATCTTGAAAAACACATTTGTGTTAATAGAATCTCCTGTGTTCATACCTATCAGTAAAAGCTCTCAAGTTTTTTGTCTTTTATGGGACTTTCACGTATGCAAAGTACTCCCTCTGTTCATTTTTACTTGTCCACTATTCCCAAAATAGATTTTCACTTTTACTTGCCCACTTTTTACATATAAAAAAGGACAATTATTTTTTTCCATGTCTTACCCTTAGCATTAATTACTTATTCTCCAAATCATTTTTCAAGACTTAATACTAAACATCAATCACTAGCAGAAGTGTGGTAAAATAGCCATGTCAATTATTGTTTTCTTAATGGATGTGCCTAGTTCAAACGGGACAAGTATAAGTGAACGGAGGGAGCATATAACTATACATAGAAAATAATGCACCAATATCCATCAATTTGTGGCCGTGAACATCTTTATTCTTTTTTCCCAACATTCTTTTGGGCCTATTACGTCTTGACTTTTCCAGTATGTTTCATCTTCAAACAAGTATTTAATATCTGCTTGCGAGTCTCTCCTCGTGCTCTAATTTATGCTTTCTCTGTTAGGGTATAAAAGAAGGATGGTATGATGGAGGAAGCATTGCCTTGGCAGTGATTATTGTCATAGTTGTGACAGGTACAATGATTTCTGTAGCGATTTTATTTCAATAGAGCTCTTGATGTTGAACTTGTGTTTAATTTGGCTAGTATGAAGCAATGTGTATTGTCACTCAATTCTCAACACTGGACAAGTTATCAAAAACATGGGTTCGTTATTTATAGCCTGTTTGGCCACTTATACTGGGAAGTGCTTTTCAAAAAGTACTGTTGTAGAGTAGCAGTTTGTGTGTTGACTAATCAATTTCAAAAGCACTTTTGCCAAAATATTAGAGCAGTAACATGTGCTTCCAAAAGTGCTTTTGGAGAAGAGCTACTTCATTTAGCTTCTGAAAAACAACTTCTTCTGCTGCTACTCAAAAACATTTATTTTGTTTCTAAAAGCTTTGACCAAACATATCAAATTCTCTAAAATAAGCACTTTTAACTTCCTAGAAGCCAAACAGGCTATTTGATTGCTCTAGTTGATAGTCTTCGAATTTCATGTCAAACGTTAGAACTACAAGGTTAGTTGAAATTTGATTCAAAATGGGGTAGACTCAGGCTGATTAGGTTAGTTGGTATTTAATATAAAAGGGGAAAGATTGAGAGGTTGATCGATAATTATACTGATAATCGTAATTTGGCATACTCAATCGTACCTGGAGGCTTTTTACATAGTAGAGTCCAATTAGGAGTCATTTGGTATGTCAGATGGGATATGGTGAGATCACTACTTTGCACACTATACTAGAAATGATGTATAAGAGAGACGAGAGTTACATGGTACCTTTAGACTCGAGCTCTGGATGAATATCCTGCACTGGGGTAGACATTTCATGCATAATTTAATATCTCCCTCCAAGTTTCGGAAGCTTGATTTCTTCTCTTAGCAACCAATGCTTTTACAAATATTAACAGTTCCAGTGTCTGTTTTTTTCAATTAGGTTATCTTAGGGACTATGTCCAATTTGCAATCAACTTATAGGGTAAAAGACAATTCTATGCTCAGTGCCGATGCCAAATTACTTAAAGCATTGTCATGGAATCTTATAATAAGGATGCAGATGTCAAATCTGTGATTTCTGCCTAGTTAGACGAATAAATTGTACAAGAAATTATGGAAGGAAAATGAATTTGGAGCAAATCTTGCATGCTCTTGATTAGTAGTTTCAATTACAACGTCATATTAACTGATTAAAAAGATATCCAGTTCTAATATGCATTTACTTGTCTATATTTATTTATGCAAGCCATTGCACATAAACTATTTTAGCATCTGGATTATATCTAACAAATGAATAAAGCCTTAAAGTTCATTTGTGCTCTCCTGTTGGTAACTCACAAGTCCCCGGCATGCATTTGCAGCTGTTAGTGACTATAAGCAATCACTTCAATTCCAAAATCTTAATGAAGAGAAGCAGAACATACAAATTGAGGTTTGTCTTGTACTGTTTCCTGGTATTGCTTATGGCAATCTCTGTTTTTCATCCTTCCCTTCCATACCTTTTTATTTTTGTTTTAACATTCTGAGGGAGTCTAATCTTAACAGGTCGTTAGAGGTGGGCGAAGAATTCCTGTTTCAATATTTGATGTAGTTGTTGGTGATGTTGTACCTCTGAAAATAGGTGACCAGGTCAGTTTCCATTTCTTCTTCCTTTATTTTATGTTTTAAGTATGACATCTTTTTTATGAACCTCTTTTCTCTACATTGATTGCAGGTACCTGCAGATGGAATATTAATCTCGGGTCAATCTCTTGCACTTGATGAATCAAGCATGACAGGAGAGAGCAAGATTGTGAGTGTTTCTAGATCTCTTAGGTTACACGGCTGCAATTTCCTTGTTAACTGGTATTACTTTTGTTATCCAGGTTCACAAGGATTCTAAATCTCCTTTCCTAATGTCTGGATGCAAAGTAGCTGATGGATATGGAATGATGCTGGTATGCTCTTTTTCTGCATGATGTCTCTCTGTTTGAAGGGCCTACTTTGGTCGTTTCCTGTTAAACTTTAATATCAGATATTCAAATGGCTTTAGAGATCCCTGATTTGCTGTAAAAGACATGGTTAAATAAGCAAAACATTGGAATTAGGGTCCGAATTGAGATGAATGGTTCAAGGAGTTCATATAGTTTACCCAAACTTTTTTTGAGACCGAGGCATGCTTGATTTATTGATTGATTTGGAAATGATTTTATACACGTCATGTTCATTTCCAGGTGGTAGGTGTTGGAATAAACACAGAATGGGGATTGCTGATGGCAAGCATTACAGAGGATAATGGAGAGGAAACACCATTGCAGGTTATTTGAGCGTGAGATGTTATGATTCTGCTGAAAGATTTACATTCATGAATTCAATTTGTTTGCGTATTTCATTTTAGGTCCGTCTGAATGGAGTGGCAACCTTCATTGGCATAGTTGGGCTCACTGTAGCTTTGCTTGTTCTGATTGTCCTAATGATCAGGTAGTGGCAGAATTTAATTGATGCTGTTTATCCTTCACTCTACCTCTACTGCTCCAGGAGTCTTAGTTTAAGAATGTATGTACAGATTCTTTACTGGTCATACTTATAACCCAGACGGATCTCCTCAATTCACAGCTGGGAAAACAAAAGTTGGCAAGGCTGTAGATGGAGCTATAAAAATCTTCACTATTGCTGTATGTGTATTTTTTATAATGACCTTTATGTTCTCTAATTGTCTGTCATCTCACCAGTGACCTGTGGAAATGTAGGTTACAATTGTGGTTGTGGCAGTGCCTGAAGGGCTTCCTTTGGCAGTTACTCTAACGTAAGTTTGGTCTTTCAGTTCTTGCCTATCTTTTAGATTCCTTGGTTGTTAAAGACAAATTTGAGTATGGTTGTGAAGGTCATGTGTATTGCTGGAGATCTCCAAGTGATTGATTAGTTTGGTCCTTCTGTTCTTCATCAACTTGCGTTACTATTGGACTTTGTATCAATATAATTCTCTGTTACACAACTGGTATTTTGAAGTAGTCTCTGACTTGTTTTGCAGGCTTGCCTATTCTATGAGGAAAATGATGGCAGATAAGGCTTTGGTAGGAGCAGTCATCTTTCTCTGATTTCTTTTCTCAAGATTTCTGTGTTCTAAACAATATTTAACTGCAGGTGCGAAGGCTTTCTGCTTGTGAGACTATGGGCTCTGCAACTACAATTTGCAGTGATAAAACTGGAACCTTGACTTTGAATCAGGTTGAATATTTTAAAATCGTCTTGTATTTTGCTTTTCCTGCTTCCTCTTTTCATTCCCCTTGGTTTTGGATGGATTTAGTGCTGATGTTGTGGATGAAGAGCCAATTTATACTGTATACAACTTTGCTTTACGATGCTACCTAGCTTCAATTCTGACCCCCCCCACCAACCCACCCCCTACACCTTTTTTTGTAGATGACTGTGGTTGAGGCCTACATCTCTGGTAAAAAGATTGATCCACCTGATGATAGATCTGAAGTGCCCCCAACTGTGTTGTCTCTGCTTCATGAAGGGGTGGGACTGAATACAACTGGCAGCGTTTTTGTACCACAGGCAAGTTAATAAAAAATTGTCTGCTTTGTCTAGTTGGAGCCTGTATGTGATTTCTATCCTTTTTATTAGAAGTTGATATAATTTGGGTAATAAGATGTTTTAGTGGCAATGCTCTAATTTATATGACATTGTCTTTTGATTATTCTTTCATTCCTTTTTAGTTTTTGGCGTAACAGTTGCTGCTCCCAGCTGATGGTCTCAGTTAGTAGAAATGTTTTTTGAATGGGTGTTTATTTGTTCGTACTTTGAAAAACTGACACTTTTGGTAAAGTAAAATCAAGTTACACCAACACCTGTCTTGTGGTTCTTGATTATGATGAATGTAGAAGAGTTCTTGGTTGCACTTGTTCCTTGACAATACGATGTTGACACATACTATATATGTTTGAGGAATTATTGATGTTTGCAGTGATCTATTAACTCTAAAATGGTTGTTAATCTGCTATTCCATTACTATTGCGGAAAATGTTTTCTTTGTTTATATTGATAGCTTTTCCACATTTTATAAGGTAGTTGATATTTTTGAGCTGTATGTTGACGTTGTCCTTGTGGTCCGGCTAGAAGTGGTGTTGGCAAGTTTTGACATGAACCTGTTTCCTTGAAATATAGTGTTTCAATTAGTGGAAGCTTACTTGCAAAGTTGAAATATAGTGTTTCACACTAGGTTTTTTTAGATAGTAAGAGGAAAATGAACTGCTGTATGAATGGAAATTATCAATGGTTGAATAAAATGGTGGCTTATCGAATAGTTTAATAAAGTGGAGCCTTAGGTACTGTTTTCTTCAGATAGAATCCTTTTGGTGGGGTGAGATACTGCTTGATATGTTTGTCCAACATGGTTCCATAGGGCCTGTGCTGGTGATGCTTGTGTATAAATATTGTACTTGTCAAAGAAAAGAACAGATTTCTCTAATTAAACAAGTGCTGAAGCACCTCGGAGTCCTTTGGTTCCTTATGGTGTGAGTTCGTGTTAATCAGTTAAGGGGTGGTCTTGCCGGTTTTACTTTTTCACTTTGTGAGGATTACATTCTGCATTTAGATAGAGAACTTACTGCAATCGAAAATCATGTGCTTCCTCATTTTCTGATAGGGTGGTGCTGCTGTTGAGATTTCTGGATCGCCGACAGAGAAAGCTATCCTCCAATGGGGTCTCAATGTAATTACGCTATGCTTTATGCTTATAGTAATTGATCCCTGAATTCTCTGAAGTAAACTGGTATTTTCTTCTATAGCTAGGGATGAATTTTGATGCAGTACGATCAGAGGCATCTATAATCCATGCTTTCCCATTCAACTCAGAGAAAAAAAGAGGTGGCGTTGCTGTGAAGCTGGTAATGCAATGCTTAATTCTGAAGCTTCTTTTCTTATCATATAATAGGACTTATTTTTAGCTATGTTGCTCCGACTCCCAAATGCCATACCCGTGTCCAATCTTCCAAAGAATACACCACTTTTGGAGGATTCGACACACACCGGAAGGCATTTTTGGAAGTCCAAGCAACATAGATTTTTAGTGTGATTATACCTTTTACTTGAGGACTTCACAGGTAAAGCAAACTAAGAGAAAAGTGACATATGATTCCCATTTTATCCTTGCTTCTGAATAGTAGCCATGTGCTGTTTCTTTTCTTCCAATTTTCTTTCTCCAACCAGCTTGTGAAGAGCAATCTCCGCATCATTTTAAGAGTCAGGCTTATAATGTAAAAGTTGTTTATGCTTCAAGCTTTAATCATTCTGGAACTTGACACGCTGGATCTTTTTCCTACTTGATGGCTAGCTAAAGACCAAAAGTTGCTTAGGTGATGTTCAGAAAATCTATTATTTGGCATCCAGATGACTCGAACAAAAACATTTGCTTCTATGTCCATCTCTCGTTACTTGTCAAAAAAAAAGTCCCACCTCTTCTATGGATGCAATAAGATTTATCTGAAGCTATCTGGAAGGTCAGATGTTGTAAATTAGATCTTAGAGATTTCTGGTCATGGAAAAACCACCTTATAAAATAGGATTTGTATCTGGATGATGCCTCAGGTGATACCAATGCTGTGTTTCTTGATTCGACATGTGGTGACCCTTCATGTTTGGTTTGCTGTTTTGCAGGATTCTGAGGTTCACTTGCACTGGAAAGGAGCTGCTGAAATTGTTCTCTCTTGTTGTACAAGTTTCATTGATGAGAATGGGTCGGTAGTTCCTCTGGGCGATGATAAGGTTTGTGGAAATGTTTGTCTTATCAAGCAATTGATCTGTTTAAAAACTAAAAACTAATCAGTCACTAGCATTTTATCCTATTTTAAAAGGGTGATGTTCTCTTTCTCATTTTGAGGAATATCGGTCAATTATCACTCGGGGAAAATTGTCATATGAACCACTGCATCTGAAATGGGTACTTTAAGAGATAAAAGAGTGCCAAAGTTGAATGGTCTCTTCCATGAAATTTTACTATCTGCTGTAACTTTCTTCAATATAGATGTGAGTGATTTCTGAATGTTATTTTTTGCAGGAGATTGCATAATTTTACTGATTCAAAATGATTTGGCATTATTTTATAAATTTTTGGCTTTAATTCTGAGTATAAGTTCATTTACGGTCAACAGATGTCACTTTTCAAGGAAGCAATTGGCAACATGGCTGCTTCGAGTTTGAGATGTGTTGCTATTGCATACCGGCCATATGAGGTGGAAAAAGTACCTACTGAGGAAGAAATAGATCACTGGGAAATACCTGAGGGTGACCTAATATTGCTTGCAATTGTTGGCATTAAGGTACTCATAAATTCTTCCGCCCCCTTATTTATATGTTAGACATCTTTTTCTCTTCTATGCTCCAAGGGAAACTTTTCTGCAGCACACAGATGGAAATATTACAGAACTCGCAAGTTATTTAATTATTTTGGTTGTCTGTTTAAAGGGTGTAAATTTTTGAGCCAAGTCAAATCCAAGCCCAGATCTTTATGGGGCATCTTGAACTGATCCTTGTCCGAACTGTTTTTTGTGTTTGGCTGACTGAAAATTGAGGCTTGAGCTCATACAATGGGGATGATTTATGAACTTGAGATTGTGTGCGGAAGGCTGACCTAGGGTGGCAAACAGATAAAACAACTTTGGAAGTTGACTATCAAGACTGCAACATAAATCCTAATTTTCAGTTTGGCTTTATCTTACCTGGAAAAACTTTTTAGCCATAAATAGTATGTCTATGAATGCAAATCCCAAAGGTCGCGGTTGGAGATGATAGATCAAAGTTTTGTTGACATTGATTTCATGAGATCTTCCAAATTAATCTATGTTTTCCAGCTGCAATGCACAATAGTATGGGAGTCAATGGTGGTTACTCTTTGTGGAGTGAAACCTATAGCTATGCTATGGAGCAACAGTGGTGGTGCAAAAGGGGGTGTAAACGATCTATGCAGAAAAGCTAAAGCAATCAGGTGCAGAACCACAACTATGGGGAAGTTGAGTGGTGAGCAAGTAGCGGTGACTTGGAGGAAGTAGCAGTGGTGGCTAGGACGTTTGAAAATGGAGGGAGAGATAGGAGGAGGGGTGGTTAGGGCCACCGGACAAGCACTAGTGTTTCCTCTTTAAATATTTGTAATGCACAACATCAGAAAAGTGAATAAAAGCAAGCTTGCCTTCTGATGAGCTTTTTGACCTAGCTCAACCTTAAAAGAAATAAGCGTAACAAAGTGGCTGCTCTATCTTCTAGCCTGGATAATTCGAGGAACTGGGTGCTCAGTTTTTCTATGAACTGTGTCATAGCCTTTTCTGCGGTTACAATTCATTTGACTGCCTGCTCTATCTACATTTCCTTTCCATTTTTAAGAATATATAATGCCGAAGTATCATTTACTTTGTTCTTATCACATGTAATTAACTCTTTATATTTGTATTATAGGATCCATGCCGACCAGGCGTAAGAGATGCAGTTCAGTTATGTATTGATGCTGGCGTGAAGGTAATTAGAATAATGCATTTGCATTTAGTTCTTTGAAATATAAAATTGTAATTGATGTAATCCTGCCTTAGTTTTTGATTTGTCATGTATTCTGTTATTAGCTCAATGATGCTCGCATATCTGTTTTTACTGTAAAAATGATTCTTCTATTCTAGTTTCTTTTGGTTTCTGTAGAAATTGTATTCTATTTCCAAACATGGCATTTCACGGGTTTTGAGTGTTACATTGATGTACTGGTGCTGTTAATTTTATAGGAGAAATCGTGAAGAAAGCCTTTGTGTTTTTTTTATAATGGGAATTTGCCTATTTGTGTATTTCTTATTGAGATAAAGTATCTTTTGTTGCTTGTATGTATATCTGTATTTTATTTTCTATTCTATTCACTATCCTGCTTGTGTTTGTCAATGGCATTTTGTTAAAGCATGTCAGATTGTCAGTTTTCAATACAGTTAATCCAATGGAAGATACTTAAGAGTTAAATATAATGCAGTACTGGGTTTCTGGTGCCATAAAGAAACAATGTGGAAAGTTGCAAACTCCATGATTGAGTGGTAGTTCTTGGTAGGGAGTCTGTGATACTTGTATTTTGAATGCATAAATATTGGTTCTTTTTGGTTTCATCGTAGTTGTGGTTTTGAACGGATTGTGTGATGCCTTGACAATAAAGAATTGAACTAGTGTTTCCTGTTATTGGTATACTTTATTAGAGATCTTTTCAGATTCATGGGACTGAAACAAATTAGGCACGTCAGCTGCTTGTTAATTTGTGATTTTGTTGTAAAGTTCTTGTCTTGTGTCACCAGCTTGACTGTTCTAGGAGTGTATTATGGAATGTTTTTCCTTGACAAGCTGTGTTCCTCTTGCATGCATAGTGATTTCTGAAATGGTTGACGAATCCCCGAAAAGCTTCAAGTGTGGCCATTCTTGTATATGCCTCTAATAAAAATGGTTCATTTGCTCATAGTGTAACCTATCCCTTTTCGTATTTGAACTTAGTAAGTCCCAGCATGGGGAGCTGTGTTATATGCTTGTAGTGTAGGATGTACACCACTATACGATGTACTGTTGTATTTGTCTCTTCCTAATCTTTTTAAATAATATTTAGCTGATATGTGATGGCATATAACTGTTTTCCGTCAAATTCACAGGTAAGGATGGTTACTGGTGACAACTTACTAACAGCAAGGGCAATAGCTTTGGAATGTGGGATACTTAGATCTGATGCTGATGCAACTGAACCAAATCTGATTGAAGGAAAGAGGTTTAGAGCTATGTCTGAGGAGGAAAGAAGGGACGTGGCAGATAAAATATCGGTATGGAATGAAACTAGATTGTTTTTAGTCGTTCAACAAAGTTCTTCCTCACTTTAAATTCAACACCATGTCTAGGTTATGGGAAGATCGTCGCCCAATGATAAACTATTGCTTGTTCAAGCACTAAGGAGCAATGGCCATGTTGTTGCTGTAACTGGAGATGGTACTAATGATGCTCCTGCATTACACGAGGTGCTCTTCTTGGCTGGTTGAGAAAATACTTGTGCGATTATAGAAAACATGAGGTCTACTAGGTGTATTTTTTCTTTCTGAATCATTTTATCCTGTTTGCTGTTCCTTTGGCCCGAGGATTTTCCTTCTGTTGCTATGTGGTAACTTGCCGGACCTGTGATATTTGAAGTCTCTGCTCTAGTTACTTATGGTGATATACACGCATAGGGCCTTGGGATGAATGTCTAAAATGCATTGATCGTGGCTGGATACATCAGTTGCCACTTACCCTCAGTTCTGTTTTTTAATTTGTTGATCAAACTTTCTTATCTGCTCTCTGTGATTCTTTCATGGGGTAGCAGTTTTACCTTCAAAACTAACCACCATATTTGCTAATAAGATTTCCTTCATTGCTGTCTTGTAGGCTGATATTGGTCTTGCTATGGGAATTGCTGGAACAGAAGTTGCCAAAGAAAGTTCAGATATCATTATACTGGATGACAATTTTGCTTCTGTTGTGAAGGTCAGTTTATCAAGGAAGTTATCAGGCTTTTTTCTAGAGTAAAACTGTAGAAGATTAACTTGACTCGCATGTTTGACTAAACTGCTTTGAAGGTATACCCAAGAGTCGTGCTTATATAGTTTGAATCTAAAACAAGATGCTGCTAAGGATAAGTTTATTGTGGGGCTTAGTCATCTCTTACTTTATGACAGGAGCGCTTAGTCATCTCTTACTTTATGGGAGCTTTCCCTAAAGATTTTAGTGCTACCGAGTTTCCGATTTCAGAATGCATGTTTTCTCTATGAAAATTTAAATTGCCTTCAGCAGTTCTGAAGTCAATCTATTTTAGCTGATATATTCTGCAAACCCATTTGTATCTTTTCTAGTTGCTTTGATTGAAGTTCTAAGATTTTCAAACCAGTTCATGGTATAATTATTTCTATTGTTCTTTCCTCACCAAATGCAGGTTGTCCGATGGGGCAGATCTGTGTATGCTAACATCCAGAAATTCATCCAGTTTCAGCTCACTGTTAACGTTGCTGCTCTTATAATTAATGTTGTTGCTGCAGTTACTGCTGGTGATGTCCCATTGAATGCTGTTCAGGTTTTGTTTCTCTGCCCTTGTATCATCGATCAGTGTGATTAACAAATGCACTCTAGTGTTCTACATTACATTCTGATGTTGATCATTGACGTTTTCCCATTCACCTGTGCAGCTACTTTGGGTAAATCTTATTATGGATACCTTGGGGGCGCTTGCACTGGCCACAGAACCACCAACTGATCACCTTATGCTCCGAAATCCTGTTGGTCGAAGGTTAGTTTGTAGATTAATCTTCTGAAAAAAGTAGCTTGCTTCAACATTTTAATTGCAAGGATATTGGGTTTGTGACGTCAAGTTACTTTAGCTCGACTCTATTACTTTATCTGCCTATTTGTAGTATTACAGATGGGTTAGGTTTTTAAAGATAACTAATCTGTCATGGGGCTCTGCACTTGGTTTCCTATTAGGAGGCCTTTATGCACGATGGTTTGTTAGAATTTCTTCTTTTGCATAAAGTGTTGGAAGTAGATTTGTATTGAAGCTGTGAGATATCTAGAGCTTCAAGTACCCAATGACGTGTGAGTGATGTGACCTAGTGGCCTACCAGGTTACTTCATTAAAAAATGAAGTGGACTCGAGCCTTGGAGACTAAAATAACTAATCTGTCATGGGGCTCTGCACTTGGTTTCCTATTAGGAGGCCTTATGCACGATGGTTTGTTGGAATTTCTTCTTTTGCATGAAGTGTTGGAAGTAGATTTGTATTGAAGCTGTGAGATATCTAGAGCTTCAAGCACCCAATGACGTGCGAGTGATGTGACCTAGTGGCCTACCAGGTTACTTCATTAAAAAATGAAGTGGACTCAAGTCTAGGGTTCAAACCAAACAAAGATAAAAAATGCTAGGTGGTTGCAGTGTTACCTGCTACCTCTGGTGGTAGGAGGTAAGAGACAGCAGTTATCCGGTGGAATAGTTGGGGTGCGCACAATCTGACCTGCCCATCAATGTTATAATATAGTCGTTCTACTCTTCTCCATATTTTGTTATCACACCATGCCTATTTAGATTTTGGATGCTGCCCATATATTAAATAGCATGACCTATTAAACATCTGGCCCTATGATGTGCTGAAATGAGTGACAACACCTCCCTAAAGGAAAACCATTCTTCCTTGCTCAAAAAAAAAGAAAGAAAAGGAAAACCATTCTTCTGTGCATTCTTGTTGCAGTGGGTTTAAACAATCTCACTACATTCTTAACATTCATGTGATTATAGTGTAAGCTGGATTCTATACATTTCCGACTCTTTCCACTTGTGTTACTAAATTGTAGGGACTTCTATAATTCTCAAATACCTTCAGCCATTCATTTTAATGCTTTGGTACTTTTTTTGGATAACCGTGGGGGTTTGGCAAGCTTGCGCACACCTCGACTAGTTCCACGGGATACATGCTACCTCCCACCAGCAACAATTACTTTGTCCACTAAGGCTAGGAGGGCAGAAGGGAAGACATCACCTAGTGCTTTTGTCTCCGCTGGATTTACTTGAGACCTCAAGATTCTCCTCCTACTTTAATTTTGACCATTAGGACACTTCATGCTTTGGTTCTTTTGTACATCCATCTTGTATTAAACACATCTAGTGGTGAAACTATTTTGCAACTCCAGGCAATGATTTTCCAATTGGATCAACTCATTTTCAGCTTCTTTCTGTACTAGCTGATGTTCCTATAGTTATAATGTTTCTCGGGCGCATCATCAATTGATTGTTTGTTTAATTCTATCTCAGGGAACCTCTAGTCACCAATATCATGTGGAGAAACCTATTAATACAGGTAAAATAAATTTAACAGCGATGTTCCAAGATGAGAAACATTCGTTCTGTATTAGTTTTGAGGTTAATGCTCCTGGTTGAACATCTGCAGGCTCTGTATCAAGTTTCAGTTCTCCTGGTCCTCAATTTCCGAGGTAAACAAATTCTGCATTTGGAGCATGAGACGAGTGCGCGGGCTATTGAAGTGAAGAACACCTTGATTTTCAACGCTTTTGTCTTCTGCCAGGTAAGAATATAACTGATAAAAACTATCCTATGATTGGCTTTTGCACTCTCCATATTGTATTTTTCCTTCCACGAGAAAGATTATCTATTGTGGGTACTAGGTGCAAACTCAAGCATGTCTGCTGTCCCAGGATATTTGTCCTACTTATGCTTTTGGATTGTGGTTGTCCACTTTCTTAATTCTAATATGTTTGAAATACCACTAAAACTTTAGCCTCCCCTTATAATTTTCCCCTTCATTCACCAATAAAAACATCAAAACATGTTCCATCTGTTTACACGACAGATTTTGAACAATTCATATTTTTTCACTCTTCCCTTGTTGAATCAAAAGTGGGCAACCAAATTTGGACGAACAGAGTATTTGATCTCTTCCCTTTTTGGGATGTTGGTTGTGTTTCCTGAGATGACTTGAAAATTAAATATGAGATATAACAATCTTCTTGGGCTTCCTTCAATTTCTCCTGCAGTCCTTTTTCCTCTTCTTTTAGTTTGTTCAGGAGGTCGGTGTATGAGGTAAAAAGTCTGAAGCTTAGTTTGTTTGGGGGTATGGGCGTATGTGATAAGTCTGAAACTGAATTCTTCCTATTGCTCTTAACAAGTGAGCAACATAAATTCAGATATTTGCCTTCCTATCGAGATTTAATCCCTGCTAATGACTTAAAACCACAGGTTTTCAATGAATTCAATGCTCGGAAGCCAGATGAGATGAATGTGTTCAAAGGAGTCCTCAAAAACCGTCTATTTGTTTCAATTGTCGGCCTCACAGTGGTGCTTCAGGTATATACATCATCCCTATCCTTCTCTTTGGCACTGAACATCGACCTTTTTATAATAACAATATCTTTTTATTGCTTAGGTTATCATAATATTCTTCCTTGGAAAATTCACTTCAACTGTGAGACTGAGTTGGCAATTATGGCTAGTTTCAATCGTCATTGGAGTGATAAGGTCAGTCTGGTTTTATGCACTGCATTATAATTGATCTTTAATCTTTTCCGGTACTAAGTGAAGTTAGTTTTTGCTCAACAGCTGGCCCCTTGCTGTTCTTGGCAAGTTGATACCTGTCCCCGAGAAGCCATTTAGTGAATATTTTTCCGAGAAACTACTAAAACGAAGAAATCGACAGGAGTGTTCATAGACATCTACACACACAAACTTAACTAACCAAAAGTATGTCGTGCTTTGTAAGAGTGGCGTTTCTTTTGCCGCTGTACAGGAATATACTGCTAACATTTCATTTTGTGGATGTAGTAGATCAGTATAATTATATTTCTTTAATATGCCTTTTTAAGTTTGGGGATGCAGTCAACCTTTTGCAGCAGATATTAGTTTTCCCGCGCCTGTATTCTACTGTGATGTTCTGGGCCTTTTGTGCTGTTCATGTAAGATGGAACTTCTTATCATAACCACCTTGCATTACTTCAAAATTTTCCATTTGTATGTGCACTTGATCATAACATTATTTTGCTTCTGCAATGAGAAGATGGACGATGTTTTTCGCCATCTTTGACAGTGGCGATTACACAGTACACATAATTTTTATTTAATGTTGGCTGGCCGAAATAGTATTGCAGGTAGAAATGATTCTTTCACAAATAAATGAGTGGGGCGTGAATTCTCATATTCACTAAGATTAAAGAATGTTCTCTTTTTCTGAAGTTACCAACCAAAGTTTGGTACACAATATAGTTATTTTTATTTGTAATCTTTTGGCTTGGCAAAATTTGCAAACATATGTTTCTTTTCATACCCAATGGCTACAAGGTTAGACGGTTAGTAGGGATGGTATTGTGGCTTATTTCTTCATTCTTTCATGTCGAGCTTTCAGAAGCCACTTGGGAGGGAGAATGAACAATTGAGCAAATCCTCAAAGCTTGTTACTTTTTAAAACTTAACATGTTACGATGGAAGTGATGAGGAATTAAACAAGTATAACATTAAAGTAGTGTGCTGTTGAAATAACATGGAAATATATACATGAATCAATCAGAAAGATTTTGATATACAAGGCTGTGAAAATGATGCATAGCCTTCTCAACTTGTGGCGCGTAGCGGCCAGAGCAGTATGCAGGTGATTCAAGGCCTCGTTGAACAGCTTCACATAACTTTATATCCTCCATCTGTTAATTGTAATCAGCAATGTTATTATAATGAGTATGAAAGCATACAGATTGCAATTAACGTGGTGACGATGAAATCTTGCATATTTTTACTGTACCTGCACTGTCTCACTATCCTCGAGACTCTGTGAGATAAAACTCTCATCACCCTGTGAACAAAGATGATGATGAAATTGCTAGCTCCAAGTAATACCTTTTATCTTAGAGCAAGAAAACATATTGTACTACGTACATTTACCTTGACAGATGAATCAAGAAAGTAGTCAAATATCACTAGACATTTCCGAGGTCCTTGAGGCAGTACGAGATTCGTGTCCATCCAAGGACCGTACCTACACAAAGCTCCAGAGTTTAGTTTTACAAGAATTGCAGGTCATATATGTTAATGAAGCACCAACCTGTTGATCATAAAGTTGGGATACACGAATGCATATAAAGCTTTTGATCCAAGTCGATCAAAGTCTTGGTCCTTTTCTGCACTACCAGTTTCACATCGTTGGATGCTGACTTTCTCAAATATCTGATTCATTATTAGGAGGGAGTTACACGCAACAATACAAGTAATATAGAATGATAAAGCTGATGTTGGACATACATACAGTGGTAGAGTACGAGTCAAGTGTCAGACCCGAAGCAAGACCTTTATGGGCATATGGTACATGATAACCACCATCCAAGTAGTTGTCACAGAAGACCTGCAACAGAACAGACTGGTTTGAAAATTTAGCTTGATTCTGGGATCAAGCGCATAATCAGAACGGAGATGTCAAATAACTTTCTCGACGAAATCATAATGTGAGAACTAACTAACCTTCCAGTTACACTCAATGGTGTATTCACGTCTGCATAAAAAACTCAATGAAGAATCCACTCCACCATCAGCCAAGATTTGGGATGAACTACCCAACCATTCGTTTCCAACAAAGTCAAAATCGGATTCTTGTTCAGGCAAAACTCCATTTTCAAAATTGACAAGTATGAATGGTCCCCATACAGCTACTCTCATTGGGACTAGTCCCATCTCCTATCCTTCATATAGAAGATCAAATCAAATCACCCCGACATTATACATAAAACAACCATGAACTGAGAATATTTATTACATACATACATTCACTTTGAAGTTCTTGATTCCTGTTATTCTAGTTGCCTTTAGAAGTGCTCCATCCAATCCATATGTCCACCCCTGCGAAATGGAACAAGAACCATTAAATGAAGTATATCAGATAACAACCAAATAAGTTACATGAGAATGATATCCTCTGGGATGCCTAATACTAAGTACATAAAGAAATCAAGAAGAAGAACAAAACGTTTACTGCTGAATTAACTATTTAAGTAATTGATTGTTATGTCCTTCGTCTGACCAGTTGATGGTCACAATAAGCACTCATCACAAACTAAAGGAGGAAGAAACTAAGGAGAATTTGAGTCTTCAACGTGTTGTTGCTACTGTTCTCTTCTACTTTGTTTTAGCATGGCTTCTTCATTACTGTATTTTCTTTCAATACTATATGCTTTACTTGAGCCAACTGTATCAGTAAATGTATGAGAGTCAACTACCAGATATTGAAGGAAAACTGAAATCAGCTAAAAGGATCAAGAAAGCTCTAAAACTGAGTAATAAAAAGCTCACATGGTATGGACAAACAAAGCAAGAGCTTTTCCCACTTCCTGAGGCAAGAAGAGAGGCATGATGGCGACAAACATTGTGAAAAGCATGTATTTTTCCACCATCATCTCGACATACAACATACTCGACATTGCCCAATCTGTATTTCAACGATTAGCTACATGAACAAAACAGATATATAGGCATATCAAGAATAACTTAGTACCTTCCAGTGAAATATTGCCTAGGCTCTTTGATCTGTTCAGTGTACCCTGCAATTGCAGAAAAGTCACAATTCAGAGAGCAGAATAACTCAATACTCTCTTTTTACTTGTCCTATTGTCAATACAATTTCGTTCCCCGTGATCAGGTATCTTACCATCGCGTTAGGATATAGCATCCTAAGCAGATTGCACTCACATTGAATTGAACTTTGCAAGCTACACTTTGAAAATAAGCTCTCATAACAGTATACACAAAACACTTCAACAACGTTAGACTAAATTTTTCTCTATTCCCATCACGGAAATACACTTACACATGAAAAACCGCACGCACACACACACAAAGAGAAAGAACACACACACCAACTACTGATACAGTTGCAAATGAAGAAGGATTCCCTTCCCTCCCATGTAATGTATAACAGTACTCTCTCCATTTCAATTTGTTCGTCTAGTTTAAGAAAGTAAACAAGACTTTCAAATTTTGTGGCCTTAAACTAGATAGGTAGAATGTATCAAAAATGTCTTTTAATCCTATAATCTTGAACATGCCACGCGAAATATTGTAATTGAAGAGCTGCTAAGAATAAATTATGATCTTAAACCTGCCATGTGAAAAATTGTAACCTAAGAGTTGCTAAGAGTAAATACCAATGTTTTAAAAGGAGGGGGCATGAGACGAGGCATTTTACTTAGTATAGGGCGAGGCATAAGCCTCGAGACGTGGGGCGTAAGACCTATGGATTTTTAAAATTTTAATTTATATTATAGTATAATAATATAATAACACAAAATTATAATGGGGGCGTAAGCCCTATGGATCTTTAAATTTTTAATTTTATATTATAGTATAATAAATAATAACACAAAATTATAAAAATAAATCAAAAGTTTGAAATAATTACAAATATGATTAAATAAACTAATAGAAAATAAAAGTTCTAACATGATTATACAAGTATAAATAATCTAATATCTTAACTTTCTAATAATAAAAGAATCATTATTTCTCAAAAATATTTTTATTTATCATACTATACGATTTACCCCTTTAACTTTCTAATAATAAAAGAATCATTATTTCTCAAATTTTTTTTTTTATCATACTATACGATTTACCCCCCAAAAGAAAATAATTAATAGCGTTACTAGTATTATAATAAAAACATCACTCAATCATGAATAAAAATAAAATTACTTTCAAATAGCTAAATAAAATATAATAATTTTGAGACATATGACTAAACCATAAAGACCAATGATAAGTGAAAAAGTAAAATTCCGCGACGTATTTATAAAAGAAATGTTACGTAATATATAATTACTTTCATATTTATAAAAGAAATGTTACGTAATATATAATTACTTTAATAGTGTTACCAAATAAGAAAGATGTAATATTAAAACTTGTTATTTGAGTTATTCTCAATCTTCTTTATCTCTATAGATTAAAAATTATTATTTATCCATTCAATTATTCAAGAATTATGAGGGTCAACAATGTTAACTAAAGATTTTAACACATAATTTGTGTAAGATCTGTTAGGCGAGCCTTTAGTGTTGGGCGTTGGTTGGGCGTGCTTAGGGCGTACAGTCGGGAGCTTAGGGCATACGTCTTACAGAACTAAGCCCCACTTGAGTCTCGAGGCGTTTTGATAAAGTCCCGCCATAGGGTGTGCCCCGAGGTGAGTCCCAACAGAGTTGTTTAAAACACTGAGGGCGTACAGTCGGGCGCTTAGGACGTAAGTCTTACAAAACTAAGCCCCACACTTGACGAGCCCCGAACAGAGTTTTTTTAAAACACTTGTAAATACTATCCAAAGTATCAATCTTCAAACAAAAATTAAGACAAAGCAAGAATAAAATACTATCCAAAGTATCAATCTTTAGACAGAAATTCAGAGAAAGTAAGAATAAATACTATATAAAGTATCAATCTTTAAACAAAAATTTCAAGGATGATAAAGAAGCATATATACTGTTGTTGTTGCCAACAATAGTTGTCCACTATTGACTTGCCACAAGAATTAAGAAGCAGTAAATGATAAAAGATAACTTTATCAAATGACCCGTATTAAATACAAGTCATCTAAACAGCAAGGGTAAAATAGACCTAACATGTTAAATTATTCATTAATTTTATAAACTAGTTGAACATCTCAAAATAGTATAGCGGAGAAGTAAAAATGGACGGAGAGATCTCAATAAGATAAGAAAAGATGTCATACCAACAGCTTGCCAACCTTTGAAGAAGACTTGATTGAGTTCATGAGTGTAAAAACAAGAGTCAGTATACCAAGAACTAGGTGGGGTGATGGCTTCTTCAATTGGGATTTTGGGATCAAATTCTAAAACCAATTTTTTATTAGAATCACATGAAATTTTAAATGAAAGATGATGTTTTCTGGGTTTTACAGAACAAATGAAAAATTGAATAGAAGATAATTTGTGTTTGTTGAACTGATGAAAAGAAGTGAATCTCTGTAGCACTACCATGTTTGAGACTCAAATTATTTCTGTATTTTGCAGGCCAAACAATAATAACAT